AAAGACAAAGGGAACAGGGGAAGGACTGAGCGAAGTGCAAAGGATGGAATGCCGGAGAGTAGAAAGAAACCCAGTTTGATGAAAACAGATTTGGTTTTGGTGAAAAAGAAAAACAAAACAACAAAACAACACAAAACACCTTTAAATGTTTATTGTAGGCTGGGCACGGTGGCTCACACCTGTAATCCCAGCATGTTCGGAGGCTGAGGCGGACGGATCACCTGAGGTCTGGAGTTAGAGACCAACCTGACCAACATGGTGAAACCCTATCTCTACTAAAAATACAAAAATTAGCCAAGTGTAGTGTTGCACCCCTGTAATCCCAGCTACTTGGGAGGCTGAGGTGGGAAAATTGCTTGAACCCAGGAGGTGGAGGTTGTAGTGAGACAAGATCGGATTGTGCCACTGTACTCCAGGTTGGGCGACAGAGTGAGATTTCGTTTTTTGTTTTGTTTGAGAAGGAGTTTCACTCTTGTTGCCCAGGCTGGAGTGCAATGGCGTGATCTTGGCTCACCACAACCTCTGCCTCCCGGGTTCAAGTGATTCTCCTGCTTCAGCCTCCCCAGTAGCTGGGATTACAGGCATGAGCCACCAACCTGACTAATTTTTTGTATTTTTAGTAGAGATGGGGTTTTCCATCTTGGTTAGGCTGTTCTTGAACTCCAGACCTCAGGTTATCTGCCTGCCTCGGCATCCCAAAGTGCTGGGATTATAGGCATGAGCCACTGTGCTCCGCTGAGATTTTTTTTTTTTTTTAAGTTTATTGTAAAGCAGTACCTTGATGTAATTCTGCAAGTATGAATTGAGTGCCTTCCATGTGTCTGGGCTAGGCATGGGGCCAGGAATCTGTGACTCTAAGCAGCTGCTTGCTGGGAAATAAAAGTGGGAGGAAGGGAATAGGTTGGCAGCTAGAATCACAAGGAAAAGCTGTATTCTGTCGGGAAAGATCCCTAGCCCTTGAGCAGGGGCTGAGGCTGCAGGAGGCAGAGGACAGTTCAGAACAGGGATTGGGGAGTATTGGGGAACAGGGGAGTCAGATTGGCTTCTCAGACTAGGTAGTGACAGCTCTGGCTAGAGGAGAGGATTTCCCTCCCCCAGTAAGGCAGGGCTCTGAGTAGGGCTAAGCTGGGAAGGGTAGGGCAACACCTCTCCCCTTGGGCTTTATCAAAATTCTACTGTAGTGAATGCTAAATCTGCCAGAGCCCAGAAGGGCCATTTAGGCCATGACACCAGAAATCCAGATTCAGTTAATTTGGTGCATTTTCAGGGATAAGGTTGGGATACCAGGGAATTGGAATAGTGAGGAGGTTGACCTTGAGCAGTCATTTAAATTTCTCTCTTTTTTTTTTTTTTTTTTTTGAGACGGAGTTTCGCTCTTGTTACCCAGGCTGGAGTGCAATGGCGCGATCTCGGCT